ACTCTCCTCACTGCCCTGTGCCATGGACAGGGAATCACTGGCATCCTGCACATTCTACACTCTACATACAGCAGTGGGAATGAGGGAAGCCCAGCTGTGCCCTGGCTGGCTTCCTTGTCTCCAGGGCTGGGCCGGGCCCTGGGCTCTGTGTGGGGGACACACTCACCAGGAAGTGGCCTATGCTTGGATGCCACATGGAAAGACAGTGCCAAGTGGTCCGAGGCACCAACAGCCCTGTTGGCACAGCCAGCCCAGCCTGAGGCCACTATCTGACCAGTAGAAGCATTTGGTTAGCAGCGATTGGTTTAGAGAGCAGCATCTGGACAGGCTGAGGGCAGCAGGGAAGGGAGAGCTGCAGACCCAGAAGGACTGACCACATGACTCACCAGTATCCAAGCCTCAGAGAGCCCCACAGACCTGCCTTGGGGGCCATAGGAATGCCAGCTGCTGGGCCATGCCTGCTCAGGGGCAGGGGCAGCCCCTTTGGTGCCAGCAGGTTGAGATGAGCAGGCTGAGATTTTGGGGGTCTATAGGGCTAATTAGCCCTCAGCTGAGGCTGCCCTGCCCACCCCAGGTAGTGCAGAGCCCTGGGTTTGGAGTCGGTGAGGAGGCCTGCTCTGCTGCCCTGCTCACTGGTGGCGTGGCCTCGGCCAGTTGCTTCCCCTCTGCTGGCTTCATTTCCTCCTCCGTGATGGTGCCCCTCCTTGATCAGTTCCTTTCCTTCTTTCCATGGGCTGGGAAGCTTCAGGGCCCCTGCCACACTGACCTGGTGGTGTTGGTCCCAGTGGGGACCTGTCTGGCCACCTCAGCCCTGGATTTCCCCAGCCCTGCAAAGCGGAGGAAGAAGCTCTGCCTACTTAGAGCCTAAGAGAGGGAGGCCAGGTGAGGGGACATGCCACCTCAGTGCCTTTGCACATGCTGTGCTCTTTGCCTTCACTTCCCACCTACCCTAGCAGGTCTGGCCCCACAGGACTGGTTGCTGGGGGCTGCTAAGTGGTTTGGGTGAGGTGCCTACCTGGGCTTGGGCCACTCACCTGCCCTGCAGGCAGGGGTTTGGGGATTTGCAGGAAGGACCTGAAAACAGCACCAGCTCTTCCTGATTGTGCTGGACACCATGCTAAGCAGTGAGCTGACATAATCTCATGGGATCCTAAGGCAATGACATAAGGCAAGGACCCTCCTGGTCCCCATTTTATAGATTAAATACCCCACGAGTTGAGGAACTTTGCACCTCACACAGGTGACTGGTGACAGGACAATGTTGGCAAGTGGCACGGGGCATCCAGGGCCCTCCCCCACACACCTGCTCACCTGCTCTGTGAGCCCCCTCTGCTAGTGAGCCATGGGCATCCTCGCTCCTCCTGGGCCCTCCTCACTGGCACCTCTGACACTCTGGGACTTAGGCAAGAAGTGCTGAACAGAGGAAGGGATGAATGAAGCTGCAGGATACTCAGATGTGTGGGAAGCCAGGAGGTTTGGGGGCAGTCAGCAGAGTGCATGCCACTGGCGGAGATGGAGGACAGCGCTGAGGAAGGACTGGGGGGAGGCCCAGCCTTGTTTCCTCAGCCCCTTAGGCAGAGCGACCCCGTCCCACCCAGGAGACTCCTCCAGGAGACCTGGAACCCTGCTAATTTGCAGCCTTCAGATGCTCAGCAAAGGCAAGGGTGTCATGTTTAGTACATTAATCCGGCGATTAGTGGGTGGGGCTTCCCACTGGAGAAGTGATGCCAGCCTCCCTGGGGAGGAACCCCCAGGGTGACAGTCCAAGACCAGGCACAGACTGGCTCTGGCAGGGGGTACCAGAGGCAGGTCATGTTGGCTGGGACAGCTGGTCCAGGGTCTTGGAGATGGGATGAGCTTCTAGGGGCAGAGGCACTCAGCTGAGAGCCCTGGCCCCTGGTGGGAAGGGCGGCTTGCCCAGTATGGGTGCCCTGAATCTGGCCATACTGAAAGATGGAGAGCAGCTCCCATGGGCTCGGGCCCCACAGCCTTCTCCTGAGGTGCCCTCCATTATCCTCGGGCCTTGGGAAGGAAGGGACTGCTCCATATAGGTCACTGTGGTGTTGTTGCCCCAGGCCCCACCCCCAGACCTTTAAGATAACAGGGAACGTGAGCTGGACCCTGTGCCAAGCCTTGGCTGGAGTCCCTAACTCCTCCTATGGTCCTCCAAGGAAGGGCAGAGAGACTCCTGTCTTGGGGTCTTGGCTCACCCCACCCCTGCTATCTGACCCCTCCCACCCGCCGTGGTGCAAGCTGCATACTAAGCCCCTACCAGGAGTTTTGGGAAGTCTTGTTTTTTTCCCTTAACCTGGGGCCCTCATCTGGTTTCCCCTGTGCTCCGATGTCCCCTGGAGGTTATTTCAGAGAACCTGGGGCCTTGCAGAGACAGAACCACAGCAGCAGGTGGAGGAGGCCTGCCCCCATCCCCCACCACCCAGGGTAGTTCTAAGGATCAGAGGAACACGAGCACAAGCACTTTGTAAACTCCAATAAGCTGTACAAATGTTGAGTGGTATTAGCACTGAGCCATCCACAGCTCACCCCTTCCCCCTGCCACAAGGCCTTTCCTACTATGGACAAGGGAAGGAAATGCCTTTGTCTTTTTAGGATGCCAGGTGGAGGTGGTGTTAGCAAGGCTGTGGGCTGGTCGTGAAACTGTCCCCGTTAGTCTAAAATGGAGGATGAGACACAGTGAGCACTGAGAATGCCCTTGAACTAGGAAGGACACCCTGGGCTCCCTCAGAGTGGCAGGCTGGGGCTCCCTGGGGAGGGTACCTGCAGGTACAGCCTTCCTGGGAGGAGAAGAGGAGCATGGGCTCTGGAAAGGGCAGTAGTGTGGGGTGGGCCTCCTCCCAGCCCAGATGTGAAAGGCTGAGACACTAGGCCGACTCCCTGAGAGGCGGTGGGCACCTGTAACCTAAGCTCCTACCTCTGACACCCTGCCTCCCCCTGAGGGGCTGGAGTCTGCTGAGCAGTGGGGGCTAGAGGCCAGACCTCCACCTCTGAGTGGGGAGGGCCAGCATAGTAAACATCTCCTATACATGTCATGGGGGAAACAGGTCTAGGCAGCAGCAGCCATGGCCCAGCCCGCAGGCTGTGTAGTGGATGGGGTGACAAGGCACTCGGAGGATGCGTATAGCACGTGGCCTGGCCCAGAAAGGGTCCTCGAAGCTGTGCTGCCACCACCACTGAGGTCATAATTGCTCTGAAATCGCAACTGAGCCCAATTATGCAAAAACCAAATTATGTGCGATGATTTTTATGTGTTGGAAATGTTCAGTTGAAGCTGGGTGATTACAGGGGGACGGGAAGCAGCTGCCACTCTCTGGGAGCCCATAACTCCCAACAGCTGGAAGCTGTCACTTATTTATGGCACCGTTTCACCAGGAACAAGCGAATGACAGTGGCGGTGAGGACTGCTCGGCCGGGAGCCTGGGCAGTGGCAGGCCTGGGAGCCAAGAAGGGTGGTGGGGTGAGGCTGGGAGGGGGGCTGACGGAGAGTGGCCAGGAAGGGTGGTGGTTCTCCCACCCTAAGTGCTCTGGGAGCAGCTGGCAACAGAAATTTGGCTGAGCTGCCTCAGGTGCCCAGGTCTTCTGAGAGGCCCGCTGGACAAGCCGGAATTGAAGGGGTGGGAGGCTAGCCGGGCCCTCTGGGGGTGGGGGGCACTGGAGGCCTGGAGCCTGTCCCCCCTCACCCTGACGCGCCTGCCAGGCTGCCTGGGGCAGCTGCGACCCTGGAAAAAGGCAGGTAATGACAATCGTCCATAATGAGGCTGCTCCGATAATGAGCATGGGGCTATTATCCGACCACAGGCTGGACACATCCGAAAATAAATTATTTTAAGGATCCATTAACGAATGCCTAATTAATGCCCAATTAGAGAGAAGCTACAGAGGAAATGCTCTGGACGGCCGAGAGGCAAGGCCTGGTTTTGCAGTGACAGTCTGGGAGGTCGAGGAAGGCTAGGCGAGGAGAGGGAGCCAGAAGGTGGACGTGGACCAGGGCAGCTTCTGCCTAGCATCTGGTGCCACCTGGTGCCACCCTTGGTCCTTCACAGATGTGTGTCCTCTCAATACATCCACCCAGCTCTGCCAGGAGAACTATTACTATCTATATTTTAGAATGAGGAAACTGAGGCACAGAGGGGGTGTTGCATATTTGAGGACGTGGAATACACTGTAAGGGAGACACCATTGGAAGTGGACCTTGGTGGCATGCAAGCAAGCTCTGCTTGTTATTGGGAATAATTTAAATAAAAAGATTGTTCAGGGCTCGGCGCCCGTGGCTCAATTGGCTAAGGCGCCAGCCACATACACCTAAGGTGGCGGGTTCGAATCCCCAGCCCGGCCCGCCAAACAACAATGATGGCTGCAA